GAGCCACAGCTGCTTGTTATCCTCTCCTGTGAGCATCCTGAAACCACTCACAGGAGGTTTCTGTGTCAGCAGCTCCAAAGGCTCCTACCGAGCCACAACAGTTTACCATTGATTTGAGTATTGGGACTCCTCATAAACAAGAAGATCCACAAATGTCACTTTCGATTCTGAACAAAAATATGAATTTAAATGCAAAATATGTGACCAATTTTTCACCTAATGTTTGACTTAAAGATCCTTCTGAACTATACTTTCTCTTTCTTCCTTATCCTTGCTTTTTTTTTAGGATTACTACCACAGCTGCCTGTATGATGGATTTACGTAGATATCCCTTGGATGAACAAAACTGCACACTGGAAATTGAAAGCTGTAAGTCTTACTGTTCCCCACTGATATATAAAATTGCAATTTTTCTTGGAAACATATCACACCGTGAAGAATCATAGCATAGACTATGTTTCCAGCATTTTAAAAAATCCTGTCAACATTTCTGGCATTTTTTTCATCTTCGATGAAGTGATTTACAGACTCCCTTGCATCATTTGAGGCCTTGTTTAAATGTTATGGTCAGGTTCTTAGTTGATGATTTTGCCAACTATTTATTTCTTTAAATCTTGGAAATACCGTGTTTGTAAGGAATGCCTTTCCTTCCAGCTTAAGAAAGTGAAGACTCTTGAAACGAAGTATTTCAAATGGAAGCTTTTATTAAGCCAAAGTGAAAACATTCAATTCGAAGCAATGTCTGGATCCCCTTAGGCAAGGCAAGTAGAATTAAAGCAGTAGAGACCCCTCCCATTAGTCAGAATGCAGATTTTAGCCTATACAAGAGTGTGAAGATGGTTACTTTCCCAGCTGCCCTGAGAACCAGATACAACCATACATTCCCATGGTTATCTTCCATTAAACATTAAAGTGAACTGTCCCACATGGTCATCATAAACATTCCCCAAAAGGTGAGGAGATCTCAAGGCACTTTGGTGCCAGGAAACCAGTTGTAAAATATCATTTGTCACAGGCGTTACTAATAAATTGACTCCAAGGCCCCCCTCCTCCCAATTGAATGGCAGTATCACTTTTAGGGATCTGACATGCTGCCTTCCTTAGAAAAAGGAGAGATCCACCTATGAAAAGATAGAAACAAAAAATTCATCATAGTATTTTAACAAGGTTTGTCAGGATATTGGGAGTGAAATTTTTTCAGTAAGGTAGGGCCCCTAACATGGTGTTTAGCAACCCATTCATTTTGGGATGAGGGTAGATGCTTCCAAGCAACTAAGTAATGGGTTTTCCTCCTGTTTATCCTAGAGTCAAGGATTTCCTTGATTTCAAAGTGTTGTTCACCTTCTATCATGATGGGAATAGGTGGTATAGGTGCGGGTGGACTGAGTGATGAGATTATCTCTCATTTGAGTAAACGAATGTGAAATACTGGGTGGACTTGCCAGTGTGTCTTTGGAAGGAGTAGTTCTACTGTTACTGGGTTGATGACTCTAGTGATAGGGAAAGGTCCAATGAAATTTGGCCCTCATTTCTTTGATGGCTGTAAAGATTTCAGGAATTTTGTAGATAAGTATACTGTATCTCCAACATGGAGAGGTTTGGGTTCCATTCTTTTCTTCTCAGCTTGAATTTTAAAAGCCTCTCTAGCTTCCTTTAAAGATAATCTAACTACTGCCAATGTGTTTTGTAAAATGTCCATCCACTCCTTAAGTCAGGGGATAGTGGGTTCTTCTGTGGATAGTTCAGGCGTGGGGCTGAAATCTTGGCTTGTTGCTACTCTAAAAGGGGTGACACCAGTGCTTGAGTGCACAGCGTTATTGAAGGCCACTTCCTCAAAAGGTAGAAGATCTTTCCATTTATCCTGTTGAAAATTAATAAAACATCTTAGATATTGTTCTAGAACCGAGTTCAATTTTTCAGTTTGACCGTTAGTGTGGCGGTGGTGACTGGACCTCAATCCTTGGGTGGTGCCAAGTAAGGTCAGAAATGCCCTCCAAAATTTTGAGGTGAATTGGACCCCTCTGTCTGAGCTGATTCTCTGCGGGGCTCCATGAAGGCGATTAATGTGTATCAGGAATAACTTGGCTAGACTTTTGGCAGTAGGGATCGTTTGGCAAGGTATAAAATGTGCCTGTTTTGAAAACAAGTCTGTTACGACCCAAATGACAGTATTCCATGCGCTTTCTGACAGTTCTACAATAAAGTCTTACAATAAAGGTGCTGAAGGTTTGGCTACCTTCTGTAAGAGTCCTGGGGTTTTCCCTTGACATCTTTTTACTGCCGCATGAATAGGACAGCTAACTACATAGCTCTCTATGTCCTTTTTTAGTGATGGACACCAAAATTGTCTTTTAATTAGGTGTAAAGTTTTCACAAAACCAAAGTGTCCAGCTAATTTGGAGTCATGGCACCTTGCCATTAAGCGCAATCTTTGGCTAGCTGGAACATACAACTTCCCATCCACCCCCACCCAAGCTAAGTTATCTTTCATCAGACAGCTGGATTTGTGGCTCAAAACCCATTCATCAGTGGCCAAAGCTTGTTTAAAAGTTTGGGTGGTGTCATTGTCCGTCAACATTTCTTGTTTTGCCTGGGATTTGGTGATTACTTTAGCAGCTAGTTGATTGTTTTGTACTATGTGTTTGATTACGTCTGGCTTTGTACTATTGTATTGCAGTTTTCTGGATAGTGCATCTGCCAGAAAGATTTTTCCCCTGGGGAGATACCTGAGCATAAACTCAAACTGTTTAAAGTACTGCATCCATCATACTTGTTTTGGGGAGAGTTTCCTTGGGGTTTTAAGGGCTTCTAAATTTTTATGATCCGTCCAGACTTCAAAAGGGATCTTACTCCCCTCTGGGAAATGCCTCCAGGTTAAAAGTGCCCACTGAACTGCCTAAGTTTCTTTCTCTCAAATGGCCCATCTCTGCTCAGTCTCATTCAAATTTTTGGATGTGTAAGCGCATGGTTGTAATTGGTCTTGCTCATTTTTCTGAAGCCGGACCTCTCCTATTGCCACATCACTGGCATCTGCTTTTATGATGAACGATTTGTCTGTGTCCACTGAAAACAGCCGTTTAAGTTTTTCAAACGCAGCTTGGGATTCCATTGTCCAGTTGAAAGGCTGCTTCGGTTTTGGGTTACCCTTCTTCTTAGTTTTTAAAGCTTAGCGATGGGGAGGCAATCTGGGCAAAGCAGGGATGAACTGATGGTAAAAGTTGGCGAATCCCATGAAACTTTGTAACTTCCCAATCAAGTATCACCTGCACTTTTAAAGGGTCCATTTATATGTCCTAGTGTAAAATGCAGTACCCTACATAATCTATTTTTTTCTTGGTGGAATTCACATTTAGAGAGTTTAGCATAAAGTTTGGCAGAGCAGAGTTTGTTTAGAACAGCCTGGACTAGTTTTACATATTCTGCTTTGTAGAATATACAAATGCTCATGTAGCACTTGGCTTATTAATTACATAAACACTGCAGGGGGCCTTGTAGCCCACTTTGAATTGGTACCACCTAATGGGGGTGTTAAATGCCATCTTCCACTCATTCCCCTCCTTAATTCTGCTGTGGTACTAAACATTCCTTAAGTCCAGCTTTGAATTTTTTATTCCCTGTAGCGAGGTGTGCTAGCATGTCTTTCATAAGAGGGAAATATACATGTTCTCCACACTGATAATAAATTTCTAAAATCCACGCAGAGACGTTTAGAGCCATCTTTTTTTCTCTAAATAACTCTGGGGCTGTGATTTTTGGTCAGGTTGGCTCTATGAAAACCCTTGCTAGGTTTTTCTGAATGAATGCCCCCAGTTCTTCCAGCTCCCTCGGGGACATGCTATACATCTTGGGTTTAGGGAGTTTGGCACCGGGTAAGATTTCTATCGCACAGTCAGTGGAATTGGGGGGGAGGGGAGAAACTTCCTTAGAACAATTAACTTTGCCTCCAGAAATCGTGGGTGCGCTGTCACTGGATGTTTTTAAGAGTCTAGAACCGTGGTGGCAAACCTATGGCACGTGTGCCACAGGTGGCAAGCGTAGCCATTTCTGCAGGCATGCGAGCAGTTGCCCTAGCTCACTACAGCCCACATGCACGCACTAGCCAGCTGATTTTTGGCTGGCCCACCCACACTGCCCTTTCCTTTCCAGGAGTCTCCACGCGATGTCAGGTAAGTACAGGGATTGCGTGGAGGCTCTGGGAGGGTGTTTTCGGCCTCAAGAGGGCCTCCAAGGGGGCAGGGGAGGCCATTTTCACCCTCCCCAGGCTCTTAGAAACCCTCCGGAGCCTGGGGAGGGTGAAAAATGAGCCTACCGGAAGTCGGAAAATGAGCTGTTTCCAGCCTACGGAGGTTTCAATGAGGCCTGCTAGGCCCAAAATCAGGCGTGGGGTCATGCATGCATGGGGGGGGTTGCACACACATGGGCAGGGTGCGGGGGGGATTATGGGTGTGGGCACGGGCACACCTTTGGCACCCAAGGGAAAAAATGGTTTGCCATCACTGGTCTAGAGATTCAATTATCTGAAATAGTATAGGTCCCTTCCAGCTCATTCATTCTATTTTCAAAAAGTCATTTATTTTGAAGAAAATGTATTTAACTATAATTATTTGATTAATTTGATAGCAGAAAGATGGCTAATTAACAAAAATTGATTTAGCTGATAGTTGATCAATTAAAACAATTAAGGCTGTCAGTAAGTGTACAGATAATTATATCATTAGTATTCAGTAGGAAAAAGCCTCTTGGCAGCTTATTTAGGTAGACAAGTCAAGGAAGAAGAAATGCTTTTCATGGTTATAGGGTAGAATATCAAAATCTTGCAAGTCAATAGAGACTATCTCTGCCTTCTCATATGAAACAAAATCAAGTTAGAAATAAATTATGTTCTCACACATTCTTCTTTTCTAGGAATGGCTAATCTTTTCTGATGTTCCTTCTCCCTTATTAGTTCAATTACCTCTTCCTCGTTTCAAGGGCCCAAATCTACTTTCCTTCACACTGCCAGATTTGTTGGCAAAGAGGGATTTTGGTTCCTTCTAAGTTACTGTTCCCACTTCTTTACCCATAATAATTTGCCGTGGTATCAAATGTGGTGGGAAGCAGAGGGCACCCAACACATGTCATATCATCAGTCATTTAAATCAGGAATATGCATGCATATGTAATATGTATAATCCTATGCAAAATGCTGTATTATCCAGCAGATCAAACAGATCCTTTTCTGTGCATGTTGCTCTACAAACTCAGAAGAAAGCAGTAAATGCTGAGAAAACGCTACATTGTTTTCATAACGTTTGATATTTGTTATGATAGTGACCGTATTTAATACAATCTAAGTTCAACAGTTTATAAATTCAAAACAGGTATGAGAG